CATGTCTTCATGTGGCAAAACAAATTGCAAAACCGAACATTGGGTCTCTACACAGTCTCTGGAACTTATGGATGCTCGCCGACGTATTCCGGCTGGAAGCTCGCAAAAATCTCAGGGCGAAACTACGTGCTAGCCTAAAGAAGGACCGCGAAACCTGGTGGTCTCATCGTGCCTCTGAGATGGAAACAGCCGCTGCCATTGGTAACCTTCGTAAGTTATACCGGCTGATACGGGCAACAGGCAGCAGGAGACCTGGTGTTAGCGAGACCATACGCGACGAGAGTGGGCAGATGATCCACAGCCTGTCAAAACGCTTGGAGCTTTGGGCTGAACACTTTGCTATGCAGTTTCACCAACCTGAGTTATCGCTTTCTTCTTCGGGCATTGAGCGCCCTTCTCCTTGGGCCGTCTCCTTGGATCCGCCCTCACGCGCAGAAGTCGAACGTGAGATCAGGCTGTTGAAATTGCATAAGGCCGCAGGAGCAGATAGAATTCCTCCAGCCCTCTTCAAATTCGGTGGACCTGCTCTAGTAGATGATCTACACGAGTTGCTAGTAAAACTTTGGGAGCAGGAGACAGTCCCGACAGACTGGAACCGCTCCGTCATTGTCCCAATTTTCAAGGGAGGCTCCCGTTTAGAATGTGGCAATCATAGAGGGATCAGTCTGATTTCGATTGCCTCCAAATTGCTTGCCTCTCTCATTCTTCACAGACTGACTGGCACTCGTGAAAGCCAAATTCGTGAAGAGCAAGCCGGATTTCGTCGAGGTCGGGGCTGCATCGACCACATTTTCACATTGCGTCAAGTGTTGGAGCACCGCCATGTTTATTGGCGACCCACCGTTGTCGTGTTTCTTGACATAAAAGGTGCCTTCGACTCAGTCGATCGATGTGCCCTTTGGGACTGTCTGTTGAGGAAAGGTGTGCCTGATAAATATGTAAACATTATCAAAGCACTGTACGCACATAGTTCGGGCAGGGTGAGGGTTTATGGCAAACTCTCGCCACCCTTCAGTATCACCAGCGGTGTGAGACAAGGATGCCCGCTGTCACCTTTCCTCTTCAATTTCGCTATTGATGAAGTCATGGAAACAGCGTCCGCTGGACACGACCTAGAAGGTGTGGAGCTACTCCCTGGTGAGCGACTTCTTGACTTAGAGTATGCAGACGATATTGCCCTAATCTGTGACAGCTCCCAAACATGCCAAACAGCACTGAACCGATTAGCACTGGCTGTCAATCGTTTTGGGCTATGCTTTGCTCCATCGAAATGCAAAGTACTTCTCCAAGATTGGCGGGGACCCAACCCTGCGCTAACGCTTGGTGGTGATCTGCTAGAAGTCGTTCAGGAATTCAAGTACCTGGGCAGCTATATTGGCACCCGTTGGATTGAAGATGAGGTTACGAAGCGTATAGCGAAAGCTCGAGGTGCTTTTGCCAATCTCCGCCACCTGTGGTGCAGACGCGACATTACTCTCGCCCTCAAGGGCAGAGTTTACAACGCAGCCGTCCGTTCAACTCTCCTATATGGCTGTGAAACCTGGCCCATCAGGTCGACAGACATGAAGAGACTCGTCACGTTCGATCATCGCTGCCTTCGCAGCTTAGCTCATGTCTGGTGGGAACACCGCGTGAGCAATGAGCGTGTTCGGCGTCGCGTATTTGGTGCAGGAAGAGCGAGTGAACCGCTCAGGACGGTTATATCACGCACCAGGCTCCGATGGCTGGGCCACGTGTTGCGCATGCCAGCACACCGACTCCCACGACGTGCATTGTTTGCGCGTTGTGGGTGCGGTTGGAAGAGGAGGAGGGGAGGCCAAGTGATGACTTGGTCGAGAGAAATGAAAACCCTCACTTCGAAGTTGGCGTCGGTTGGTGCATCCCGACTGCCTGGCTGGGGTCCTAAGGACGGTGAACGCGTTTGGTTGGACACACTTGCTGATATGGCTAGGAGCCGGCCCCAATGGCATTTGTGTTGTGAGTTCCTTTGTCCATCCCCCTCCTGTTTAGCATCGCCCTCCAATCACGATCTCAATCGTTAAGCATAATATGACTTTCTTTTACGGCAGCCAGCTGATAGCTCTCCGGAACGATGTCCATCCGTTACTGGGGACTCAGCTGGCGTGCCACTGTTTGTTTGTTTGTTTGTTTCTTTTCTTGCCTTTTGTATTGCGGCACAATAGCTGAGGTGTTTTCCACCTCCAGCTAACGTGTAATGATGATGATGATCTACGTTGCGCGGGCTGCAATAACAGGAGCTAAGGACGTGTCTTTCGGACACGTGTTCATTGGGTGCGACGCAGTGACCACTTGCTCAGCTGCGAAACAGCAATTGCGCCTGAGCTGACGAGATACTGCCGGAAGTGTTGAAACGCAGCTGACCTGCGTTGATTCATGCGCTGCACCATTTGGTGCAACGAGTGTGGTTTGTAGAAGAGGTTCTAACTGACTTGAAGGATGCTTTTGTGCTACCACTGTCCAGTGGCAGAAGGTGGAAGCAATGTGCCACCGGTTAGCACGTATCAAGTTGTTGACCTGTCATAGTTAAGTGATCACACTCATCCTGCTCAACCGCCTCGTCACACAAGTCGGGTAACCGCACGCGGCGGAAGAGCAATGTGGATTCAGCTCGTGCCGCAGCACTTTGGAAATGATGTTCGCGACTCCTCTTCTACAGGGAAATGCAGAGAGCTACACTAGCCATTGTACTCGCTGTTTGTTGACTTCACCAAGGCATTTGGTGCAGTGTATCACGAGGCAATGTGGCTGGTGTTGGATAAGTTTGGTTATCCGAGTAAGTTTGTAAGTTTACTTGAATGATTGCACAATGGTATGCGGACGAGGGTGCAGTTTTGTGGACAAGCCTCGGATGACTGCTGCTGTCTCTAGTGTAAATCATGGGTGTGTCTTAGCTCCTGCCTTGTTTACTATTTATCTTTATGCCATGATATCTTATATGTTCGATGTGGCTTGTGCTTACGATGTTCGTGTGGAGCACCGTTGTCCACAACAACCGGCCGAGACCGAATGTTTCGTCAGCTTTTTCATGCGGCTTCTCCAAGTTGCAGGCTGTCCACCAGACCGTCTCTTCCAGTCCTGTCCAGCAACCGCAAACAACGCACGCCGGGGGCAACGGTGGACAGGCATGCGCAATAGGTGTCCCAGCCACCGCATTTGATGCAGTGAGACGAGTTCCTCGAGCGAGTGGCTTCTTCGTCCCAAGACACGCTGTCTAACTTTCACATTGCTTGCGTGGTGCCGCCACCACACACGGGCAATGGACTGCAGACAGTGGTGTTTGAAAATGGATAGCCTGCGCAAGTCATCTTTACGAAAGGGCCAGGTCTCGCATCCATAGAACAGTACAGCACGAACAGTTGTACAACAGACTCGCCCTTTGATGGAGAGACGAATGTCGTGGCGACGCCACAAGTGCCTCAGCCTAGAAAAAGCGAGGCGTGTTCTCGAGATGCGCATCGAAATCTCGTCTCCAACAGCCCCGCCAGCAGTGATGCAACTTCCCAAATGGACAAAGCTCTCCACAACTTCTACGATTGGTAGTGCCACAAGCAGCTGCTCCTGCGTCGTGCATGGCGGCCGAGATCCTATTCCACTGAAGTTCAGTGTCATTAGGGCAAGACAGCGAAAGTTCGGTACGCAGTGCGTCTTGATAGGCTTGCCTGACCGAGGGCTGAGACAATTTCTCAGTTGGCAGTCGTAGGGGACGCTTGGTGCGCCTCCCGGTAAAGTTCATGGAGAAACGACAACGTACCAATGCATGATCAGAGTCGACACAGGTACTCCAGTACGAGCGGCAATCCAGGATGGAACCACGCCATCTGTAACTTATGGCTATGTGGTCAATTTGGGTCCATCGCTGGCCAGCTACAGGAGGACGGAAAGTGGCACTTCGGCGCCCACTGTGTCTAAAAGCAGTGCTAGTAAGAAACAACTGGTGCTCCGCGCACACTTGTAGCAGACGCTCACCGTTTTCAGTCCGTTCGGAGTTAAGCCCATAATTTCCACTTAGCTGAGCTTCTGAAGAGCTCATTTCGTCCACCAAGACGCGCGTAAAATCGACTATTACTTCATGTTCGCAGTCTAAACTGTCAAGAATCTTCTATGCAGACTTTACTGCGTTAGTCGACTTCTGTGCTCGCCATTGATCTCTGTTTACCCGGACCTGTTGAGTCGTGCTCTTTGCGTCCCAGCCAATCACCTTACTGGGTCAGACCCCGAAATATCTTATCGGCGGTCTAACCGAATAGGATGAAGTATTTTACGGGACGGCGTTGTTTTCCAAGTCGGTATCTATATCAGCTGTTGTATTCCCTATCGCATGTAGCTCAGCCCCGAGGTGAATATTGGCTTCTCGCCCATTCCTTTTTTATTCTTCCTAACTGCTCCACATGACGATTCCACTTCTTGTTGATTTCCCGTTGTTGACTAGTATTATTGCGAGTTGTTAAGGTGCTTTTTAGTCACATCAGACGGGCAACTGGACTACCACACTCTGGTGCTCCCCTCGCAGTTGATCTGCTGAAGTGTATGGAAGCTAATTTTATACGACGTGCTGTCTTTACTCCTGGTTACTGCGCTGCTCGAACTGAGCAAGTCCTTCGCGAACCACATTGTCTGTTCGAATAATACCATTCTGATGTAGCATCGTGAATACTCCACCTCCATCGCTGTGCCCCGAATGACCATGACCATTTCTTGTCTTCATTATACGTTAACGGGAAGTCAGCTAGCCTGCAACTCTCCGTCTGTTGCTGATTGCCTCCCTTTGCTTTTTGCTGATTGGTGCATTAGCAGAAATCTGTGTGTACGCAGGAGTTGTATCAGTGTGGACTACTCAGCTAAACCCGAATGGGTCTTATTTTACCTTGCGGCACGTATTCGGGCGCCGTTAGTTTTGTTTGATGGCAACTGACTCTGTTTTTTTGCCTCACATAGGTGATTTCCTTCATCCGTTGTATTGACTTGTCTTCTTCTTTAAGGTTTTTTCAACCACGGCCGCAGCTGCTGCTTATCTCAATGCAATTGCATCACTGACTTCAAATTCTGCAACCTCCGTACCGTTGTTTGCCAGCAATCCCATGGGAATTCTCACTCCCAATTCGGTTACCTTTTCCGATACGGTCGACGCGCTAACTGCATCGGGTCTGTGCTCATTATCCGTTCCAAATAACGTTCCCACATCGACGTATGCCAGCGCCACGGGAGCCATTTCGAGAGCACAGAATGCCTCCATAGGACATCGAAGTTCCCCACTCCTAACTCCGCTGGATGGATCAATTTTTAAAGATGGTGATTTTCGGTCGGTTCAGGCTGCTGCTGCTGCTGTAGTCGCTGCATTTGCTCAACAGTCTGCTGCACTCTCGAAAAGCTTTCCCGTTAACCAGCGACATTCCATATCTGGTAATTTTCTGCGCCATTTTACCTATCATCTTTCATCCAATTAGGTTAAGGCACTTTTCTTCCAATCACTCGGTTAAGAGAATCGTTTGCTTATCATGTTTTGCGCTAACAGCATCTGACCTGTTAAATGATTGTCATCGGTCACTGTTAACTTATTGTACAACCATTATATTCTAACCTACAGTTTTGTGCCTATTCACCTAAACCTTGATTCGGACCTGACGGTATTTCATTGCCTTTCAGTCTTTCCTTCTAAACATCATAATGCATATTTTGCTTTGTGCAGTTGCACTGCGTTATCTCAGTTATTTCCACCGCTGTTACCGTAAACACTTTTTTCGCACCCCCTCCAGGTACGGAACGTGAGGCCATTGCGATGGACCCGTCTGCTACGTGTTTGGCACAAATAGGTGCTGCTTTAGGAGTAACGTCGGGCCCGCTTCACCCACAGAAGTCTCAACCATCCCCTCAATTGATGTGTTCGCTAAATGTGGTCAACCCTATGTTAGCTAACTTTGGCGGAGTTCTACCTTTGGATACCTCTGTCGGTGCGGTTGTCTCAACTTCAACAACGACAGCAGTTACTACTGTATCCGGCCCATCTTTACCTCCCGCACCCATTAGTTATCGAGGGAGCATCACTACTGGCCAGTCTGCACAACAGATTCAATTGCAGCAACATCAAAAGCAGCAGCAGCAGCATCACATAATGACCAAGTATCAGCCACCGTCAGAATTCGCGACAACCAGGGGCACTTCACAACAAGCTGACGTTATTTCGGTGAGTTTATTTACTTTTTTGTTTAGCCTTTTGACACAACTTTTTAGCACATCTCAATGTGAGGTTTATGCTTTAGAATTTTACGATTCATTCATGTGACCCCCTATTACGGCGATCCTTGGGACAATCTGAGGAGGCACGTTCATCTGCTCAACCCAGCTGATTGATCAAAAGGCCTACTTTAACCCGTACATTTCCGACTCGTCTGAATGCTTCCATCGTCATATCGAGGATATTTTCCAGTTTTCTGATTGAATAGATTTTTGCAGTTATCCTTTTGAGTATGCAATTTTTTAGGTGCCAATTGATCCATCTTACTGCAGTCCTACCGACTTCTGGAGGCGTTTTGTGCTTGCGATGGCACACTGTAATGAGGTACCATCCTCACATCCTTCGTCGTAAGCAAGATCGGTTCGTCAAGTTGTTCGGACTAATAGCTTGGATGGGAACACTAGTCAGATTCTGTAGACATGCCTCCGTACCGCAGCAACGGACTTTTCTTCATGATTGCTTCCGAAATGATGCTCTCCTCCGCAGCCTCAGCTACATGTCTCCGATTAAACATCCACAAGCATAGATAGTTGCACAACAATTTTGGGAACACATGGTGCGGATCATGATCACGGACGCCCACAACCGTATCAGCAAATATGAGCGATGCATCATCCATGAGCATCCAACCAGTTGTCTGAGAGTTATGGGACAACAGTTGACAGAGCAACTCAGCTTAGCAATAGATTGCAGAATGGAGAATACTCGGATGATAAAACAAGTGGTCTTAAAGAACAAGTTTTTGCAATTGACTCACGAGGACTGGATCGGAAATCCATTCAGTGGGCTACTTTCCGTCGCAGAAAACGAGTCCTCACCAAAGGGCTCATCTACAATATCAAGAATGCTATGACTACAGAGTTCCTGTCCGGATTCGAGAGCGAAAACTTGTCCAGTGGGTTTGACGATCCTACGCAGAAACAACTAAGATATACAATTATTCCAGTCGTAGCACGTAACAAACAGCTCAGTTCTCTACCTCAACAAGAAAGGGATGCAATAAAAGCCTTGAAAACCGATTAATTCATTGTCATTTTACCTGCGGGCAAGGTGCGCTTGACGATTATATTGGGTAAAGCGTATTTTTTTGAAAAAGCGAAACAGCTTCTGAACCACACAACAATTTACCCCCGCATCAAAAACAATCCAATAACGCAACTGAAAAACAGAATAAACAGAACGCTGAAATTGCTCTTGGAACTGAACCAGGTCACAAAAAATGGCCGTGACAGAATGATGACCCGCAACCCGAACATGGCACAATTCTACAGTCTCCCAAAGATACATAAAGTCGGTGCAACGCTAAGACCAATCTTACCGTCAAAAAGTACACCTACGTATAACCTGTTGAGAAAGTTGTGGAGACGTCTCAAGCATCTAACAATTGGATCCCAACACGCTATACATAATGCACAACAGTTTCTGGAGAAGCTCAACGGTATACGAGTAGATCATGGCGAGATAGTAGTATCGTCCTACTTTACTGCACTCTACGTCCGTCAACTTACAGACTGCAAAGCAAGCAATCATCTAACTTTTGGACCAAAGTGAGAAGATAATCGGAAAGCTGACGACTGAAAATTCTTTGCAAGCTACTTGTCCTCTACCTCGCGAACTACTTCGGTTTTGATGGACAAGTGAAGGGATCACTGATGGGATCCCTTGTGTCGGGGCTCGTTGCAGAAATAATAATGCAGAGGATGTAGTGCCAATAATCAACCGGTTGTGGATCCAATACGTCTATGATACATTCGTGATACTGAAACTTAGTCAAGCAGAGCCTGCCTACCAGTTGCTCAGTAGCGCCATTGAAGACATTCATTTTACGATGGAATCGGACATGGACGACCAGCTCCTATTCTTGGATGTGTTACTAACCAGGACGATTGGCGGAGAGTTGCAAACATCGGTTTACAGGAAAGGAACACACACCGACCAGATTCTAAATTACTACAGCAATCACCAGAAATGTCACAAAATAAGCTGCGTATGAGCTCACTTTCATAGAATTGAAGCACATTGCAGCACTCTTAAGGCAAAGCGGAAAGAAGAGATATATATGTTCAGATCATTTCACCTCAATGGAAATCCACATAGCTTCGTCCGGCGATGTTTAAACAACGAAGGTGCGACCTTTTAGCCTGCTCAAACAACAATGAGAATTGTTCTACCCTATGTAATAAACATCTCCGAGATTACATTAAGATTATTTAAACAACACGGTCTTACAGTGGCTCACAAACCAACTGCCACATTGAGGATAACCCTGTCGAAGCCCAATACTAGACCTGGAGCCCCACGAAAGACGAAATGTTGTTTACAGCATACGGTGTCAAGATTGCGATAAGAACTATCTGTGTCAGACAGGAAGCTGACTGTCAACAAGAATACAAGAACATAAGAGAGATTGTAAGAACCGTTACGCTCTCTCACTGGTTTCATTACATAGGAACGATAAAGGACATCGCTTCGGTTGGAACAACACAGATCCTTAACACAGGGAGAGACACAAAAGGGAAGAGTTCTTCGAAGCATGGTACTCGAAGTAGCATTCGATAAACGTGCACATAGAGATTTACCCAGTTTACCAAACGTTAAGACGAAGAGTAATAAAACAGCCTAAAAACCGTCGTGGGCAGCTAGACGAGCCAACAACAACACAACCGCAACAGCCGGAGCAAAACCATCCCACAGATCGCCCGTGTCTATCAGAGAATTTGGGCAGACGGGTGAAGGTCACGGAGTACAATTCAAAGTCAATTCAGAAGTCACTTGCTGGTCGATCACAAATCAATGACCAAGTCAGCGGACTACATTTGACCCAGTAACGCACTGACGAAGTCACCTCGTTTGGTTATGAAACGTTTGCATACCAAGTACCAGGCTCGGCTAACAGGTGAACTCAGAAACTCTTGATCCTATCCACTAGGATCCTGTTAGTTCGGCCGCTGTTTGGCTTGCATATCGGCCTATCTACGAATCGTAAAGCATGTATAAACTAGATTCGTTGAGCACACCTACTGAATGCGAATGTTCTAACTACGTCTCAGAATTTTCTTATAGAAGGAAGTGTTCGGTTTTGAAATGAGCACTTTATGACCCTATGGTAAACCGCTATCAAGTGGAAATTGTCCTATATTGTGGATGGGTCAATTTATGTTTGTATCTAAAACATTAGCATGGTCACAGTTAGGTCACAAGCAAAGCGATTTTACTAACCATAAGCTATTTATCTCGTTATCTTCCCCTTGTATATACTATTAAACAGCACAGAATGGGTCAAGTTTATATAAAGCTACGTTTTCTTAATCCATTTTTCCGCTTACTTTACCACATCAACATGGCTATCCGATTTTTCTTTATAAACGATTTTCTTTATTTACACTCGGAATTTCATGGACCCAATGTGATCGGTTTTTCTAGAAAGTTTTTACTTCGCAGCCAGTCTATGCAGTTTAACTCACTTTGAACAACTTCATGTCCTTGGCTATGTTTCAAGCTACCAAACTTTACTATTGCGTTAGTGCGGAATAACCACGGGATGTAGCTGCCCGTAATACTGAAAGCCTTATCGATTGATTTGTGCTCTTCATCCTAAACCTGCTTTTATACCCATAACTCAATGCTAACACTGGGTGTCCACAGCATCTTTCATTGTGATTAGCTACGTCTGTTTCCATATTTGCATGATATTGTGGCTGAAGACAGTCGTAGGACGCTTGAACCTACGGACTTCGTGTTTGTGTTTTGTGCTTTACCAGTTAAAGTTTCACCCAGCTATTCCATGTATAGTGTAAACCGGAACGAATTAAACCATGTCATCTGATTGGGTTATAGCGCGATGATCGTGCGCTATATATCCGGTACGAGACCAGACAGCCAACCAAAAGCAGTGGGTAGAACACACAAAGGAGAGCTAGGGACAAAGTTTATTGGCCAGGAGGAGAGTTAGCTAATGCTAAAAATAGAACACCAGAAGAGAGTTAGCTAGGGAGAATGTCGTTGGCATCGAGTGCGTAGACGGAGCGTCGTTCGCAGTCGAGTCGCGCACCAAAGGCGGAGATCGCGTTCGTCTTTCCAACAAAGGGGAACAACGTTCCAACAGGCAAACCGCCTACTTCCCTAATACGTAAGAAAGCTATAATTTTAATATACTTTAGAATAGTTTACACAGTCATATGAGGGAATCTACAGGTCACTACACAGCCCTCCTCCTAGAAGGGAAACCGTGGGTGACCTTTCGATCTACGTGAGGACTGTCCGTCGCGGGCCAGCCTTCTGCGAGACGAGGTAGTAAAACCTGATGCAGCTGCTGGGGGAGAACCAGGTGATTGAACCCTAGCGGGCTCCCACCCGTATCCTCCCTAAAGGTGCCAAAATGGAGGAGGGTGGAGTTCGTAAGCGTCAAATGTTTTTGGAGGTCAAATAATCGCTTCCGGCTCGTCATCTCCGGTTCATACATGGAAGATAAATGGAAACAAGAGGAGTGACGGTGGAGGCGAGGGCAAAGTAAGAGTGACACTTACCGGATGAGGTACGCGTCAAGCAAAACGCAACTCCTTTTATGTGTTTTCAAAACGTTTTTTTATTTTTTGAGTTTTCAAAACGTTTTGCGTTCTTTTGGGTTTTCAACAAACTTTTGTCGGTTTTTTGGTGTTTTCAAATGCTTTTGCTGATTTTGGGGGGTTTTCATATGTTGTTGGCCAAAAGGGAAAAGGAAACAATAAGAAAAGTGAAAGGAACACTAATTCCTTAGTCGCGTTGGCCAATGAACGCGTCTACCAGACCTAGTCGACTTACGCGAATCAGAGGAAGGCGTCGTCTTAGACGTCCTATCGAATCGCAAAATTAGAGGAACTGTTGAAGACGTGGCAGTTGATTCGTCAGAAGACGAGCAAGGGTATTCATCGACCTCAGGTTCCACGTGGGCAACCTTGAGACGGTCAATCGTAACGGCTTCTCGTTTACCATGACGGTCGATGATAAAGACGCGGTCCTTACGCTGCAGAACCTTGAAAAGATCTTCGCAAGATCGCTCCAGTGGTATGCGAAGACCATCAAGGCGGAGAAAAACGAACGGACAACGCTGTAGGTCTTGTGGAACAAAAGATTTACGTCGTTGTTCTCTAACGTCTGGAAGCTCGTACTGACGCATGCTCGTGGCTAGCTGACGTGCATGATTCGCGTCGTAACGGGGAATTCTGGGACTACCGGAAAAGAAATCGCCAGGTAAACGCCATGGTTGTCCATATACTAACTCGGTGCTAGACGTACAAAGATATCAGCCTTTAGGGCTGATCGGATCCCAAGGAGGATCATAGGCAGCACCTCAGTCCAACTCAGCGCATTGGCGGCGCTAAGTGAGGCTTTCAGCTGTCGGTGGAAACGTTCCACCATGCCGTTCGCCTGCGGATGATAGGCGGTCGTGCGAATGCGTCGGCATCCAGTGAGTATAATAAGATCGTTAAAGATCGAAGATTCGAATTGCGGACCGCGGTCTGTCGTCACCGTGGCTGGACAGCCGTGTGAAGCGACCCAGCGCTCGACGAAAGCGCGCGTTACGGTCTCCGCAGCCACTTCTGGGATGAGAACGGCTTCGGGTCAACGGGTGCAACAATCGATCATGGTTGAAGTGTAGACCATTCCTTTGGATATGAGCAAATCGCGCTGAAACGGACGGAAAGCGCCTAAGCGGAGCGGACACGCGTCGCTGAATCTTCGCTTGCTGACAGGTGAGACAGCTGCGTCTCCAGCGCGCAAGATTGCGTTGCATCCTCGGCCAAAGGTGTCTCTCGGAGACAAGCTTAGCAGTAGCTTTAATGCCTGGGTGGGCGATATTGTGGAGAGTGTCAGAAACGATACGGCGAAAAGTTTTCGGAACTACGGGTTGAGGTCATCCGGTAGATGTGTCGCATAAAATTGTACCATCCGATGACGGCAAAGGGTGTGGGGATATTTTCAAAGAGGAATCATGGAGTTCCGAAAAAGTTTGGTCGTTTGATTGCGCGGCGGCCATAGCAGACCAATCGATTGCGTGCCCGGCAGGGCCAATCGCAGATACTCTTGAAAGATCACCAGCGACGACGTTTTGTTGACCACAAATGTGTCGGATATCAGTGGAGAATTGGGCAATGAAATCCAGCTGACGGATCTCACGTGGTGAGTGTCGAGCTGATTGATTTCGGAATGCATAGATAAGCGGCTTGTGATCGGTGAAGATAATGAAGGTGTTACCTTCAAAGACTTGTCGGAAATGTTGAGCGGTAGAATAAACGGCCAGCAGTTCGCGACTGAACGTGCTGTACTTGACTTCGGCAGATTGCAGGCGTCTAGAGTGAAATGCAAGAGGTTTCCAGCCTCCATTTGTGTGTTGCTATAGGACGGCGCTAATGGCGTTGTCCGGTGCGTCAAGGGCAACACTGAGCGGAGTGTTCGGTTCGAAATGATGAAGCATAGCGGCTTTAGCTAAGGCTTTTTTACTAGCCTTGAACGCTTCGGCAGCAGCAGCAGTCAGTTCCACCTTACCGTTTTTACGTCCACCATCGGTTAGTGGACTTAACAGATTGGCACAGTGTGGAAGAAAGCGTCGATAATAGTTGGACATGCCGTTAAAACGGCGAATAGCGGCTAACATAGTCGGGTCCGGAACGTCTCTGATGGCGCGGACTCTATCGTCTAGAGGCCGTATGCCATACTGATCAATATGTTGGCCAAGAAATTCGACGGAAGGCTGCTGAAATACGCATTTGTTGGGGTTGACAGTGATGCTATTAGCGGCCAGCCTATCGAAAAGAATCTTGAGATGTTCTGCGTGTTGTTCTTTAGAAGCGTTGGCAACTATGATATCATCAATGTATGCATAAACGAAATCTAGACTTCTAGTGACTGAATCGATAAGTCGTTGAAAAGTCTGGGCTGCGTTGCGAAGACCGAACGGCATACTCAAAAATTCGAAGAGTCCAAACGGCGTGATTACGGCAGTCTTCGGTGTCTTCCTCAGCTTGGCCGCACCCAATTTCCGCAGCATGAAGCGAACTCTCTTGTCCTCTGAGACACCAGCTAAATCAATGCGAAACAAGTCTTCGTATTTATGGAACCACAATTCAAAAGTAATACCGGCATCGGCATCATAACAGAACTCACAAATTTGCTGGGTCAAGGTTTCTGTTGTGGGGCCACTTTCATTTAATCATGTTACCGAGCCTGCTTGTAGTGACAACTTTTTGGTGGGCGTTCCGATCAGCTTGGTCTGTGCTTTCTCCAACTGCGCTTGCTGTTGCTGCAACAGAGCCTGCAGTTGTTCAAAATTGACGGACATCTTTGGGTTCTCCTGACTCCTGTCGCCACTGTTGTAAACGCTTCTTCTTACCTCTGCTCTCTGCCAATCCTAGCCACGTCAAGGGAAAGAACTCACACAGGCTCTACACACACGCCTTCTATTTACAAGTATGAGGAAAAATACAACTAGCTGTGATTTTTATGACTCATTGGCCTACTCGACCGATCGCCTGACCGACCGCACTGAGGCAGACACTTCCCAAATTCTGCTCCGCTTACATCTCTGTTAGAATCACAGCAGTAGCTGATTATTCTTCTTCTAGGAACTCGTTACACCAAGCTTCAGAAATCATAGGCTTTGCCAGTGCTTTGATTTTCAACGTTTTGCTGATGGCATTCGATTGAACAGGTCTCTACTTTGTTTCTGGATATGCACAGCAGAACGACTGCATCAGTGGTTGGAGACCTTGTCCGACAAGATGCGGTTTCGAAGCCAGCGGCACTCTCATATGCGGTCGGCTGCACTTTTCAGTTACACTTTTCATACAAAACTATTATTCAACTTTTTGACCCTCTTGGTATACTTTCTTGTATGTTTTTTTCCGTTTCGCCGTTATTGTTACTTTTTATCATCACGAATACGGATGAGTCACCACGCTTCCCTACTCAGGCCGCAGTTGAACAACCGGGCTACCTTTTCCTCACTGCACGAAGTTCTGCTTCTAACTGTGTTCAGCTGGAATAGTGAAAGTTTACCTTTAGGCTACTTTTTCCCTCCTTCAGAGGTAGCGTTATATTGTGTTGTTTCTCATTTTGATATGAAACCGGTTTCTCTGAACGGCCATCGCTTCTAGAGTACTTACAAGTGTAGCAATTATCGGATTCCACCTTTGTATATCTACGTTTAATCGACTTGCGCCCCCCTTAATCCCCGACTTCACACTCATAGTGACATCGCGTTCTTTCTGTCAGCTGCAAACACAGAATTATTACTTTTTGCCTGGGTATTACTCGCCAACTGTGCCCAGAGATGTCATTCGATGTATAAACTGAACAGGCTGTCATATCTGTTAGTGTCTAGCTACGCCGTGCTGGTGACTGAGACAACAAACTAGGCAAACGTTTAGAGGGAAACCATCAAGCAAATTGATCCCAAAACAATTGAATTCTCAAAACCACTGCATTTGACTAACCATTATATTCATTTCCATCTATACACAGCTTGATACCGATGGATTTGAGATTTATGAGATTGGTTGGACACATACTACTCTCTTTAGGTCACCACTTCAACCGGAGCACTTACAAAGGTATTTTGGTTCATTTGACTTTTGTTGCTATGGGTTGAATAGAAACATTCTATTACATCTCTACTTACTAGCTTAGGCTCATGAAGGTTCAACCGAATATAAATATAAACTATTACAGCTTATCGGTTTGTGAGTTTTTGATACCAGCGATTGTTTGGGATACGTAGAAATGGCATGGAGTGATTTGGGAGTATGGACTGTTGCATCTAACTGATGCTGTGCCTCACATCCCCCCCCTGAACACTACACAAGCTGTTTGCTCTCGTGGATTACGAAGTCATCACTGTAGTTTGTGTTGCGTCCAAAATCATCGCTTAATGATTACTCCTTCTGAAAGTTAGCTTCCCGTTTGTCTACTTGCATCTAAGCAAAACAGTGCTTTTATTGGTTTGCACTTTCTGCAGGTGTTTATGGCTTCAGCTTATGACACACATCGGTTGCGTTATTTACAACGCCTTTGATTCAGTGATTCAACCATACTTTACAGTTATTTGCTTAGTACAAATATGTCCCTTGAAGTATGTGAACTTGATGGCAATGCGTTCTGCATACCTTCTGGCAGCTTAAAGACATTCGGTTAACCGTCTCAGCTTTCAGCATCTTCGATTGCGTTAACAAAACTTGTGTTATCGCTTTTCCATTCCAAACTTCAGCTGTTGGATACTTGGAAGTGGAATCTGAAGGACACCACGCAGTGGACTTAAAAAGTGCTCCTCAATGGAGGACGACTGAGCGGATTGAAGGAGCGGAAAAGCCAGACACTTAGCTCGAGGCATTTTTGCATCAGATCTGAGCCATTGTGGGGAACCTCTTTTTCCTCCATGCGCAAATCGCCTTCGTGACTAACACTTAATTGATCCTACGTGGCCACTCATTGAAGACTCGCTACGAGTGACTGGAGGTGTCAATGCTGCGCTGCACGTAATGCTCTGCTGTGAACACAGCCGTTCACTCACCGACATCCTACCTCGTTTTTCCGGACTATTTTCACAGAGCTTTTTTGGTCACTTGTAAGGTATGAAAGCATCAGTAAATCGGTGCGCTTCTTGTTTGTGTGTTCTGCCGCATTCTTCAGCCGCAGGTCCAAGTACTGATCTACATCGATCAGCCTTGTTAGCTGACGGTTTCGTATCTAGTTGCTGATGAAAGCGTTCCCTATGATGCTGCATTTTCTTATTTAACTTTGGAATATTTCTTCTAAATAGGTGTCGCTGGCTTCGACGAACCATGAGACGCAATCCTTCTTGAGTTATCTAGGGTAACTAACTCTGACAAAATAAAAACCACGAGATCAAAGAAATTCGAGAATTTTCGCTGGGCAAGATTAACTATCATTATGGTCCCATTGTTAGCGACAGACTTTATTTTATTTCAGACTTTTGGACACCAGCAATTTGTATGGTCCGCGACGTAGCATATATGCTGTGCGCACTTCTCTCTTCTCGTCTCTTTTATCTCACGAAGGAAGTGTCACTAATTTCATAGGCTGCGCTACCGTACTTGGCATAAGATGTCATCGATGAATTTCCCGGGTGAACTAAACATAAAAGGACACGTATTAGCGAAACTTCGGCGCTTCTTACCGACATTTCCTTGCCACAAAATCACCACCGACCGAACACGAGCTATGGATTTGATGTGGTCGTCCGCACCTACGCAGGCTGGACTCAGTAACGTTTGGACTGCAAGCCAGACGCATGAACTATGCAGAAGTGGTGTGATCCCAGCGCGTAACGTCAACTAATGTTGGACCATCTTGTATTCAAGCGAACAGCTGATCGAACACGGAACAAATACACTAGTAGTTTGTTCGGATGTCTCCGATTTCTGCAGCCGTTATGTTAGTGGTAAGAACAGCTGCCAACTGGACCAGCTTATCTGCATGTAGTTTGAGACGTCAAGTGGCTGGAAGCGTGTGCTTATGTTACATTTTTCAGCCGCTTTCCATACCTCTAGTGACCGCAAATCGTATTACAAACCGTTTGGCTGTTCCAGAAATTATCACTGGATAACTTACAAACTTATACACCCAACCTTTCACTGATAGGCTGCTGTTTCACTGTTTCCACAGATATTCAAGTCCATAGCATGCTATGCGTTCTGTCTGCGACGCGCCAAACGATTCCTTCGGTGATCTGGCCGTCGTCAATGGTACAGCTATCGCCATACTTGAACGCCGTTTTACGATAGTATCTTGCACCTACCTTACGTACCTTAGTTTGCAACGTCATGTCTGCATACGTTTTAGCAGCATTTGCTTAGCCGCGGTGTCTAAGTGTGTCATTCCTTCAGGATTAGGAACCTAGACTGCAAAAAATGAGTACCAACAAAATCATTCATACCCCTCGATCGCGAAGCACATGTGCAACATTCACCCCCACGTCCCATTTCTGGTGATAGCTTTCCACATGTCTTTGGCTGAATCGCGTTACTGAGATTTCAAACGAATGCTCTCGGATCCCCTCCGTAGACGAACACTGCCACTAACACACGCGAACAACCGAGTTGAAGACGAACTTTACGACAAAATGTTACCCATATTAGGCCAGTGGTATATTTGTATCTGTCCTCGCTCATTTTCGGATGTAAGCATGCTGGTGTCACCTCTCCTGTTGCGATAGAAATCAACATGGATTTCATTGATTCATTGCACGGAAAAACCACTAAGACCACCTTACGGTTACAATGAGCTATATAACACCATTTCTTTTGCACTATCTATTCGTCTTTTTCGGGTAAAACTTGGCCACTAGCTTAAGGTCACTCCGAGTAGTGTCGAGCAGATCAGTTAGACCAACCACCTGAGAATTGTCCCCAAGTTTCGGCATCGATGAGGAATTTTATCAGGGTCGGAAGTCTAGTTCCACTTCAGCACCACACATTCGTTTCGGATCTAAGTTATGGCTTTGAAGCTACAGCCGACCCACCGAACTCTTCCATAAACTTTGTGGTTTACACACTAAATATGGAGTCAGTTATATGCCTAAACTTTATCTTACTCATGTGAACTTAAACAGCCTGATGTCTTTGCGCATGCACAGCTGTCTTATAACTGGCGACATTCCTTTGAAGTCACTGAATGTGGTTGCTTCGCACATAGTCTTGATTACATCTATGAGATACGGATGCCCACTATGTATAAGCATGGATTAGTTTCTCTTATTTACAAGCTGGCCTAATCTATACGTCATCACTCAGTAACGCTTCGCATAAAAGCGGTCTCGTAGTTCTAGTATAGGGAAGACCTTGGTTTTTCGAGCAGACAGAAGGTAAAATATTAGGTCATGCACTTGTACCTCCTCCTAAGGGCGTTTCGTTTAGTAATCTTCCATCAACTGTTAAACACATACTTGCCGTTCCACATCGAGTGCGCTCTCCCGGCCTAGCGCCACCGTGCTCTTTATAAGGCTACCCAGTGGAGAGTAACCGTTACCATTCCCAGCTCCTCTGGTACCTTCGAACTCGGTTTATCTCTACATTAACATCAGCTTCTGCTTGATTTCTCACAAATCCTCCACTCTTCGAATGTCACTTGTTCGCAATAAAACCCCTTGTCATCAGATACAATGGCTATCTCGATCCACAGTCATACTATCGCTTTGTCTTTGCATCCTTATTCGCAGATCATTTGGGAGAAAGCTGACGATATGAACTCGTTTTTCAACTAAGGATTAGCTGCTAACAGCAGCATTATTTCTATATCAATAAGCTGTAGTTGAAGGGTTTTCCGCGTCTCATCTTCTTCGCCCTCGTTAACATCAGTTCTTCCCCTACAATCTTAGCCTTCCTGTTATTGAGAAGATGAAGAAACTTATCGCGTAAGAATTTGCGATAATAAGGTGCGATGTCTTGCGATTCACCTTCTCACATGTTCCCCTTTAATTGATTTGGTGTCCTAGGTTGTTCACCACTATTTCCCCATTGATTGTACCGAGAACATCGATCTCTAAGAGTGCTTGACTGATTCATTAAGATCAAGTAATTCTTCCATCTGTGAGTAGAGATTGTCAAGCAACTTTCTCCGAAAATTTATGCGGATTTTCACAAAACCATCAGCTTTTTCGGCTGCTGCACCTCCTGTGTTGGTCACAGCAATAATTTTATATACACTACTATTTAATTGTCTAATCCTTGCTGGAATATTTCTTAACTGTCATTACCAAGCAGCTTTTGGCTCCCTGTAGTCTACGGTTTATAGACCGCAGCATTGGATTGTGCATGTACAGTATTGGCCAAATTATTGGATTTTTTAATCAGCAAATTTTTTCGTATTTCATCACATATCTCGTAAGAATCAAATGATGTAATTGTAAAATGGTTATATTTATCAAGAATAACATATATCGAATAGAAAATTATCAGGGTTGGTATTTCGTGAATGATTTTTTGGCAATTTTCAAGGATTCCGCATGCAGAGGCATGGAGTGAATGAGTTTTTTGCAAAGTTCAGTCATGCTTTCACTGCGAGCCCAGGTCGCTACAATTTGTTCAGTGAGCAGTTGCTTGTTTATAATAATTTTTTCTTTATCTCTGACTTGAGAATTGCCCATATACTCTCTGTTGGGCTCATGTCAGGCCATGCTAACACTTCTATACCACAACCCTTAAGAAAACGGGTGACTTCACGCTCCTTGTGACATGGAGCACTGTCATACATGAAAATGAAGTCTTCTGTCCCTGTACATCCTTTTCCCTTTGACCATTTACACAGCTGAAGGATCAGTTGGTGCTCCAGTAGTTCTTTGTACTGCTGCTGGTTCATGTTACCCTGGACGATGGAGAACCGACCAGTTCCGTAGATGCTCATAGAGCACCATATCATGATCTGAGTGTAATGTTTGACACATAGAATGATGCAGTCTTCCCTCATCTGTTCGCCAGGTAATCGGCGGACATATAGAGATTGCTGGTCAGAGCACCGGATGATGCACTCATCGCTGAAAACCACCTAAAATGAAACACAGAAAACACAGCAAAAGTAATGTAGACACAATTTTTCTGGAAAATCCTTATGAAAATAAAACTTCCGCTTCTTACCCCTCCCAGTCTTCTTTGGACCATTTTTGAAACTGTTTGGCCCATTCCTGCCGTTTTTTTTTCATTTGTTTGGTCGACTCTTGCTTCTTCAGAGGCCTGCAAGCTCGAAGTCCAGAATCCAAAAGTCGTCTTCTTACAGTTCTCGAACTAACTGCAACACCATGCTGTTCCAACATCCCTTGTAGCTGTCTGCTAGATGCTTTGCGATTCTTTAGGCATTCCCTTAGTAGAAGTGAGTCGTCTCGAGCTGTTGTTTCTCTTCTGCGACCACATTTACCGGAACGTTTAGGGGACAAGGGTAACTTTTGCAATTTCTTTTGAAGTCGACATATAGACGCTGGGCTGACACCAATCTTGGTTGCAATTTCTGCTCCTTTAACATCTTCTTTCAACAAAATTTCAATTTGTGCATGCATTCGTGGGGTTAGGTCACGTAATTTACCCATTAATGTGCCAACACCATCTAAAAACTGGTGATTAATACGGTTTTGTCGTTACTCGAGCAGACACCTGGAAAAATAACAATAAAGCTAATTAAACACACCCATAAATTGATCCAATACCAGACAAATGTTGTCTTTAAATGTAGCTTACAGCTGTACATAACGAAATATGATAAGAATGTAACCGTCCATTTACATAACAACTGTACACATCACGTCAACCAATTTGACATCATTTACAAACAATCTCACCTACTATGCCTTTGCGTGTTAACTTCTTGAAAATTGCCAAAGTATCATTTACGAAATACAAACCTTGATGATTTTGTAATCGATATGTGTTATTCTTGGTAAATATAAACATTTTACAGTTACGTCATTTGCTTCTCACGAGATATGTGATGTAAGATGAAAAAAGTTGCTGATTGAAAAAATTCTAATAATTTGGCCAATACTGAACTCTGTTATGAGTGTACCTTCGTCTTTGAACTTGGAACTTCCCAGCGCCGTGAATTTGTTTCCAAATCGAACTGGG